TATTTTGGTACCATTCCTATAGTGAAGTAAAGCAGTTCCTGGCAACTAAATTATATGTGCCACTATTTTGGTACCATTCCTATAGTGAAGTAAAGCAGTTCCCGCCAACTAAATTATATGTGCTACTATTTTGGTACCATCCCTATAGTGAAGTATAGCAGTTCCCGCCAATTAAATTATATGTGCCACTATTTTGGTACCATCCCTATAGTGAAGTATAACAGTCCCGACAACTAAATTATATGTGCTACTATTTTGGTACCATCCCTGTAGTAAAGTATAATTTGTGTGCAATTTTACTGTTAAAGAATTTTTGTCATCAAATCCATTTTCAAGAAACATTTAATTTGGTACACACCTTCAATTTATTTTATTTTCATGCTAAACGTTGATACTTTTACAATCCACCAATGTCCAAACAAGCTGCAGGTATTTTTGTTACTAGTGGCGGTCTTTATTGTCGAAGTAGTTATTGTCCGCTTGCTCATTAGTAGTATTCAATGGGCTTTACTGCCACCTCCTAGGTCGCTCATTATTGACACGGTACCAAAATAGTGGCAAATACCAAAATAGTGGCTTAACACACGGGGTCTAACTAAGGGAAGACATCATGACATTATATGTTTATTACACGCATGTTTTCACAGGTCGACATAGTGGAACAGCGGAGTGTTGACAGTGAAAGTATTGCTTAAATAACGCAGAATACAAATATAACTTATTGCGAGAGCAATATGCCTTGTGTCGGGATCGCAGGCGATAGTCCGCCATCAACGGTGCTGGTGTACATAGTGTGACGCCACTCGCTTATGCTCGTGGTGTGATGTCACTCCTATTCAATGTTTTATTCTTAGTGTGGTAAATGTTTATAATAATACTCAATTTTATTGGTCTCCGCTTCACCTAGTATATTCCTGAACCTTAATACCTCCAAGATTTAAATCACAGTTATTTTGTGCTTTCTTTTAATTGAATTTTATTCTTGGAAGCGATTTCAATTTGTCGTCTGATGCGGGCTCATCTGTTTACTTCGACCGCTATTACGTACAATGATAAGCATGTGTTCGGTCAAAAAAACAGAGGTTATTAAATTAGGACACTAATATTTGGTGATTTCTGACCAATGCGCGCACCTCGTATGCTAATGTTGCTTACGACATGGTGTTCTATTTCACGCGAACGCCTTACGTTACGTTGGGGTGTGGCAATCCTTCGCGATATTTGCTTCAATTCTAATATCGTAAAGTTCAGCTTAACGTCGGGCCAGGGAAACCATCAAATAAATTGCTGAGCTAGTGGTCCATTCCCCTTCTCTCATAGACGCAAGCTGGTGGCGCTGTATCTCTATCAATTATAAACTTCTGATATCGATCATCGATTTTTGATAATCATTGATCGTATCGCACAGTTTTTTGTTCTATACTTAAATATTTATTCATTTGTTTTATATCTGCAACTAACATGTATTAACTTTGTACTTTTAATGATATTTATTTTTTGGTGGTGAATTAATTAATGAATTTATTAATCAATGATGTATTAATAACGCCCATTGATATGTAATGCTTATAAGTAAACACTAAACAAATAAATACGATATCTGGCTGAATCTGTTTATCTTAATCGATTTATGCTGAAGTAATGTTTTCAATTTCAACTTGCGTCTGGCTAAGGTAGCGTTTAATGCCTCAATGGTCAGTGCCACTTTGATTGCAATGTACAACATTCCAACACTAATATGTTGTTCATAGTTTCACAAATGCATATATCAAAATAACGATTGCCTTGATGTGTTCTCTTGCAATTGATGACATCACCTAATGATATTATTGTTATTATGTTCAACTGCGCTATTATTCTATTCAAATTGCTGGTTTCCAATCTTCGACGGGAATTTACAGGTCCTTTTTTTACAAATAATAGATTATGTCTACTTTACGTTATTTGCACAATCTTACTCGCGAGCAAATGTTACTCGAAGCAGACGAGACGAATTCAGCGAGTGTAACCACACCACATTGGTTAAAATCCATCTCGTTAATCAAAATGAAATTATTTGTGATCAACTTACCATACTGCTCTCTGACACAGAGTCGAAACTGTTTATATTAATATTACAAGCAACAATAGTCGGTTCACCTGGTACAACAATGTTAGATAGAATAAGTATTTGTGTACAAAGCATAGTACGTCTATATCATTAATATCACTGGAGTTATAGTATCACAATTTACGATATGCGTTTCTCTGGCGACGTCCATAATATCATGTTTTTAATGAAAAATACATTCAAGAATAGCTCATCTGGTTATCCTCCATATTCAGGAGTCCCCCAGGGCAGCAATCCCTCGGAACAGAAAATAAATCATGTACGATACATGCACTTTTAATTATATTCACAAACAGAAATTTTAGAACATCCCACGAGAAGCCGATCTCCTCAGTGATAAAATGTGCAACAAATTACATTTTTTTTTTGTATTCTGCACCTGAGATAGATTCCATTAGTAAATGGAAGCTACTTGTTTTAGGTCAATAAGGAATTCCAATTCGCGGCAGCGCTCAAATTAAATCACTTCCGTTTCCTTCATAATGTCTATACGATTCCTTTAATGATATCAGTCTCGTGCAGAAAGGTCAAGCGGATTTCTTTATTTGCATAAAATACGTGTTTCCCCCACGAATTGTACGGCCTCGAAAATTGTCACAAATTTGTTAAAAGTTATATTCACAGTTACAAATTCCTGTATCAGGCAAACAATACCTCCTTCTAATAAACGTTAAATTATTCAGAAATATTTGGCGAGCAATGATGCGTCTCGTTCCTCGCATGTGACATGGCCAGACGAATACCAAACTGTTTAGTAATACTCACCCCTCACTGTGGGCCTTAGTTTACTGATCTGTGTATCTCCAATTTGACTTAGTAATTTGAGGTCTTCTCTGAAATATTCATCACGCTGCCTAGAATACAATGTAGACAATACTTAAAGCGAGAGGGTCATCACCTGCGCATGCGCGGGAATTGAGTCCCAAGCGACGAGAACAACACAAATTAAAAACGCAAAGGCTAATGGGTAGACGCTTGTTTGTAAACAATAACACGCTATGGCCATCTTACGCAAGCGCAGATGACGACTACCCCTCTTTAACTTCATTCGTTACAATAATATTTAATCCATATACCATGACAGTTCAGTGTAATTGAGCAGTGTAGTAAGTTTCTATTTTTATGTAGACCAAAACGGGCGTGTGCTATGAATTCGCGTATTTGTGTGATTTTAATATTAATATATATATGTTACAATGCCTAAATAAAGTGTTGACTTCAACATTTCCTTATCGCAATCTGGTAAACGTATATTTGTATGTTTAACTACCCATATTATTAGTACTTGCATTGACGGCAAATAACATATTTCTGATTCGATGCAATTAACTGCATCATCGCGAAGTAGCGCGCAGGAAACGCGTGTATATTGACGAACTGCACCGTCAGGATTGCTCTAATAATTACTTGTGTCCGTGTGCGTGGCGTTTTCACGTACTAACTCTTTTATGATTTTGGAGTTGGACGATTTAATTCAAACTTTACTAGCAGGTTACACCTTCACTAATATTAGATGGTATACTCTGAGAAAAAAATGGTTACCATGTTAACAACCAAAAAACTGATTTATTAATACCGTCGCCTTCAATACCTATAATATTCTTTTAAAAGCTTCCCACATATCTCATTCTACTCATCTTAAATGTGGTTGTTATTTGTTTGTATTTTTTATATTTTTTTTCATTGCCTTTACGTTTTCTTTGATTTTTGTTGGGGGGGGGGTACTCGACCAATATTGGTCAAACGTGACAAACAGATCACACCTGCACTCGTGAACACAAGAAAGTGAACGAATTTAGAAAAAAAAAACAAGTTTGTCCCATTGTTGCAATGACAACGACCGGAAACTTGATTTCAGACATAGCTTAACGCAAAATGTATCCTAGTACAACTTTTTGAGTCAAAATCACATTTCAATTTGCCTTAGTGTTACGATTCCGTGTTCACGTTGGTCCTACCTATACCATGGTAGCATCCAAAACCTTTTTTCATTCAAATTTGTGTTCATGATTTGTTAATAGAAAAATACAAGAAAGAAATAGCTCTGACACTTAAGCTTATCAAATATAATTATGATATGACTTGCAATCACAATAGTTTTGTTTTTCGGAATACAACATCAAACGACAAAGACAAATTAAGTGTTATGTGTGTTCGCATTAGAACTATAACGGGAAAACTGTCAGCGTCCTCAAACAACAGATTATAGCATATAACTATGTGTCATATGTATATTCGATATTGAGCAGGGGATATCAAACTGGGTATAAAATGTTTCACATTTGACTCTCAAAACCTGAATGTGTTTATGTATTTTTGCCTAACCTTCACACTTGCATTAAATGTTTTCTAAGTGATCCCAAATATTGAGTTACATTTTTGACACAACTGGTTAATAATCAAGGCCACATTATATATGTTTGTTTATTTGAAATAGTTTCAAGGTAAACATATCTACCGCTTCGAAATGAACACGCATGTAACCTGCAACACGCGGCAGTTAGAATTTCAGGACTAAAGATTAAAAATCAAGGTTTCATTCACATGTGTTTTTGTATGATCACTAAAGATATGTAAGTAGAAATATGTGAGCACATGCTCCATATGACAAGTTCAAGGCTTGATCAGTTTTCCAGTTCTTAGTTCATTATTATATTATGTGTTCATATTAGTTAAATAATAAGTTAATGCTTAACAAATGTACACTAGATTTCCGTCCACTACTAAAGCAACCATATCCCAAAATATGTTGATACACAGTATTATTAAAGTAGTCTGGCACAGATAGGCATTTTCGACGAGACGAGTGCTGTTAGGTGATAACAAAACGGCGCTTGGTTCAGTGTTTTGTCAAATAACTTTGTACAGTGCAAGACACCGAAACATCGTATTCAATGGAAACCATTCGCCTCAGAAGTGAAACAATCTGCCATCCACATCAGAAGGTACGACCCTGCAGATTCGTGCCTTCCCAAATAGGTTTTCGAATGCTAGATTGGTTAATATATACATGTTTTAGTATTTTTGATTCATTACAAAATAGTTAGTATGTTATCCCTGAATGATTTTATTCAACAGTTTAAAGCGTCTATTACTGCTTGGTGAATAGTTTTATCGAGATAACCACATGTAGATTAAAGATATTTGTTTAATGCTATAAAGTACATAAATTACACGTATAATGTGCATTGCAATGATGAATCATAGCAAACATTAGTCACCCTGGGAAATAACACCTATGAAAGTGTGTCATACCAAAAGTGGCCAACTGATTACATTGCGTTGTATGAATAGATGAACATTTACTGCTACACATTTTGTTACTCAGTCTGTTTCCGTTTGGATATATATCATGCCACTTGACAAACAATTTCGCCAACATCCCTCTGCTACATTACCTACGTTTAGTTAGTTGGCTTACGATGGCTTCACACATTAAATGTTAGAATAGGCACATACTAATCACTTCACTATAGCTCCATGATTAGCGGATCATCCTAAAAATATGTATCAATAATATATTAATCCGATTTATATAATTATGACATTTTACCATGCTGCGTGATAGTCATTTGGGCTCTGACATATATTATATTCCGCATTAAATACAGTATTTCGTGTGTGTTTACATGTTCCCCGTTATCTCGTTCATTGAATATAAATATTCATATGTATGTACTATATGACTCAATACAGAATACATTCAAATAATTAAATTCGTAGCATGGAATCTAATGTTGCAAAAAGTTAAATTAAAATTATATGTTAAATTAATTAAAGCAGCTAAATCGCAATTACTGAGAATACAAATCTTGATTATTAATCTTCTCATGAATATCTTAGAGTTCGATAATATTGATTAGAGACCGCCATCAAGTCAGTCTGCGTAGAACGCTGAAAACACTGAATTAATATTAAACTGCATATTATCAGTTTCATTAGCGTTAATAACCAGGCTATAAATCAAAATCAAATAATAATAAAAAGATTTTCAAAATGCATTACTTATTTATACTTATTTCTTATAGAACTAACATTCGACAACACGGACATAAAAGCGACACGAATTTGGGAATAGGTGTATTGCTGCTAGTTGAATGCAATGTCTAGACGTAAAATAAATTAAAGAAAAATAAAGGAAAATAAAGTACATATACACTTCGTATCCAGCTAGAACCGGCGTACACTGTACCATGACGTATTATGACTAGCGTAGAGAATTTGTTCGGAACAATGGATCGAATGGCTATTATATTTAACTTTAGCAAATTACTTCTTTGTGTATTATGTTTTTGCATAATTTTGCTCTCTATGTTCATTGCAAATGTAAGTTGCTTCTCAAATGTGTACTAATTCTTATCCTGAGGTCAAGTAGCACCGACACAAATAATGACGTATGTAATACTCATATTTCCATTTCGATATTGTGTAATAAAAGGCAACAATCGACAACGTTGAAGTATTACACAGAAGGAAATGCAGAGTTCAGACAAACATCTGACAAATATTATTAACGAGACTCAACAGTTTTTGTTGAACTCAATTTAGAAATTCACGGTTTATTTCACGTATAACATGTCACTGTATGCTCACATTCGATGCTGAATTAGATTCATGAAAAATTCACGGGTGGTCACCATAAATCATTATGGGCGTAGCAAATAAAGAAATTGTTATTGCATTTGTACTTACAATACAAGAATTTCGATTACCGTTATCATCAACTGATATATCCAACTGTTTGTTTATAATGCAAATGCATACTCACGCATTCTATTGTATCTCCATAGACTGAGAGCTACCGTAAAACTAATGATTACATACTAATGGCAAAAACACGTATGAACTATTTAGTAGTTTATATTTATACATAGAAAGTCTGTAAGTCAACTCTCATGGGAGGAGTTCATGAAGATATCAATAATTTAATTCTCAAATATATAACATAGCACTACTGTAAATTATGTTTCGTCTAGTAAAAAAAATAGTTAAATGTGCAAATTAAATATAATATTCTGCACAGAGGTGGATTGTTCACATGCGTTTCAAATGTCCAATCGTATGCTATTTCAAAATTATGAAATATTAAATACATTATTCAAATTAATATAGTTATCAAATTTAAACCTTATTAAATGTGATTCATATGTGTCCTGCTGTTCCTAAAAAGAAAGGTAATCTGCATACATGCCAAATGTGACAGTCATGCTTTTTTGGACTATTAGGGAATATTTAGGTTTACCCTACTCAACTACTTTAGTCGTATAATCCTAAATAGTCTGCCTAATTTAGTATTTTGATATAAATAGTCATAGAATACTTTATAAAGTATATTCTCTCCAACTGAATACACAGCTACACACATTCGGTTTGCTTAACTATGATAACATTATGTAGTTATTAGCTGGCAAACTGCTTTGATATTATTTTAGTAACATCGTGTAGGGAAAGGTTCAGGTCGTGGAGTAGGGGAGACTAAGACTAGGTGTGCCTAGTTAGAACACAAAGCAGCAACTGATTTAATCGTTAAAACTGAGCAACTGTATACTATTACAGATCAATATTTGTATAGACAGAAATTGCAGATTAACAGGATGTTACGTAACATCTAAGTCGTAAAAACATGTGTCCAGGCATCTGTTCTTCTTATCTACAAATCACACAATTTCCGAAACATCGGGATTTATTTCTTGTGTCACCACATACTGTGTCAATGCTATGGGTGTGGCAGTGAGTCATGTGTAAGTAACAACTACACATAGTAATATTATAGAAAGCAAAACACTTAAAGAGACATATGATACGTTCATGCAATAAGACACGTACTCGTTGAACTCTCATCCACTATACGAACATATTCCCTGGAACAGACATACATTAATCGTTCGCTATTGACGTCCACGATACTGAACTCAGTAGGGTCATAGGATATATCGCTAAGCGTCAAAACTGTACTACATAATTTGTTTATTAAATAAGTAGGATACCACGGGTGTATAAGTGAAAAAAACGTAAAAAGTATAAGTTAGAGTTGGGCAGAAGGACTACGTATGATATAATTGTGAATTCCCCCAGTCTATGGTATCTGGAGATCCGCACTTAACGTCAACTACATTCGATAGTTTGTACCCTGAACTCATTTTTTTTAATCAGAATTAGTTTCGTCTCAAATCAGCGTAAACATACATCAAGTTCCAGCATATGGGCATTTGAAAGGTCGTTCATTCTATTTATATACAATTGCGTGCCCGGGGCAACTGTTACACGATACTTTAGCAAAATTAAATAAAACAATAATGTATGGATTGTTTTATCACTTAAGTCGAAGTCACTGACACAGCATAGTATAAGGCGCTTTAATGACACACACATTAAAGTAACAGAGTTTGTTCACCGTAAATAAATGTTACTTACCCGAGAGTAAGAGCCAACTGGATCAGCAATATTTTGGTAGTAAAAGCGCGTGACAACGCTGCTGTCGAAATGACCGCCATACCGAGTGTAATACGATGTATGAATATAATCTGAATAATGAATTTAGATGACGATCCCGCTATGTCTGAACGGTCTGATGTCGACAGCTGTTTCCGTGCGGAGCTATTCCATGGATCTGCCTCCTGACGAGACACGGTGATACTGTAGGCCAAAACAAAAGAATAAAGCTGAACTAAGCGCCTGGCTGGTTGTGTAAACGGCATCACACTATTGCAAAGCAATGCGCACTGACCTTAGGTGATCTATTTTGTATGATAACCATTCAAACGGAGGTTAAACGATTATGTCTCTACAGACATGGTTTACATTCAGTGTGCACCCAACGACAATGTCTCTCGTTGTTTCATTGAAAATCTAAGTTACCCGCCTTACATACGGTATACTTACTTATGTGCCTTTATGCACTGTGGCATCCACCGAGCCCTGTATCTCGCGTGACATAAATTCGTAACAAATGCATGGGAGATTAGTATTTATAATATACAGTACAATCCCATTAAAGGTATACTCTTTTAGTGCCGCCAGACATCACAGTGTGCATTGCAACACTAAAAATAAATCATAGCAACGAGAACTCTCACACGAGTGTCAGATCACAACAAAAATCTTAATTTTCTACTGCCAGTAATTGTAGTTCAGTTCAGAATAATTTCTGATAATGTTCTATTTATCTTCAAATGTATTCTATGTTTCGAGTAACTCCAAACTGTACTTTAGTACTGTAGTATTAGTTAGCACTGAAACGTGTATCATTTGATGTAAAGCGGGGGAGTCGTCGCCTACGCATGCGTCAGGTAGCCATAGCGTGTCATTGTTTACAAACAAACGTCTACCCATGAGCCTTTGCGTTTTTAGTGTGTGTTATCATCGTTGTTATCCTTATATCATAGACTCAATTCCCACACTTGCGCAGGTAACGAGCCCGGCTTTAAATCGGGAATTAATAATACTAAGACAGTGTCCAACATAGTTTTTTTGTTTTTGTTTTGTTTTTGTACATCCAACGCCTTGAGTCATCATAGAGAATTTGCAATGTGAAATTCTATTTTTTCTATCCCTTTGAACAAAATCTGAAAATTTGCAAATTTTGTTGTTTTGTTGTTGACATTTGCATATATAATTAGACCCCCTCGCCAGCAAAAACATCGAATGAAGGATATACCTAAACGTAAATCGAAATCTGATATATGCAAATAAGTGAACACTAATTTTGCTCTGGGGGGTAAACTATTTAATGTTTTATTACAAAAAAAAATATCAAAATAATGTTATTTGGTAAATTTATCAAAAAATGCTCGACTTTGCGGTCAGATTGTCTTTCTTTCATTATATAAACGTGTACAAACATGTCAACGCTCGTTCTTTTTATAATGTTCTCCACCAAAAATTACCGTCTTTGGAATATTCTTTGTTATGTCTGGCTCAACTGAGCGGGCACGCTTTATGTATTATGGAATCGACTGCGTTCACCGCATCGTGATAGGCATGCACCACAACATGACTGGCATTCACCACAACGTGATAGGCATGCACCACAACGTGATAAGCATTTACCATTACATGATAGGCATTCACCATTACATGATAGGCATTCACCATTACATGATAGGCATTCACCATTACATGATAGGCATTCACCATTACATGATAGGCATTCACCATAACATGATTGGTATTCACCATAACATGATAGGTATTCACCATAACATGATAGACATTCACCATAACATGATAGGTATTCACCATAACATGATAGACATTCACCATAACATGATTGGTATTCACCATAACATGATAGACATTCACCATAACATGATAGACATTCACCATAACATGATAGGCATTCACCATAACATGATAGACATTCACCATTACATGATAGGTATTCACCATCACATGATAGGTATTCACCATCACATGATAGGTATTCACCATCACATGATAGGTATTCACCATTACATGATAGGTATTCACCATAACATGATAGGTATTCACCATTACATGATAGGTATTCACCATAACATGATAGGTATTCACCACAACATGATTGATATTCACTATAACATGATTGGCATTCGCAATTACATGATACTAGGTATGCACCACAACGTGATAAGCATTTACCATTGCATGATAGGCATTCACCATTACATGATAGGCATTCACCATAACATGATAGGCATTCACCATAACATGATAGGTATTCACCATAACATGATTGGCATTCGCAATTACATGATACTAGGTATGCACCACAACGTAAGTGGCATTCACCATTACATGGTAAGCATTCACCACAGCGTGATATGCATTCATCATTACGTGATTGGCATTCACCACAACGTGATAGGCATTCACCATTACATGATAGACATTCACCATTACATAATAGGCATTCACCACAACATGATAGGCATTCACCATTACATGATTGGCATTCACCACAACGTGATAGGCATTCACCATAACGTGATTGGCATTCACCACAACGTAATAGGCATTCACCACAACGTGATAGGCATTCACCATTACATGATAGGCATTCGCAATTACATGATAGGCATTCACCATTACATGATAGGCATTCACCATTTCATGATAGGCGTTCGCAATTACATGATATGCATTTACCACTACATGATAGTCATTACATGCCTTTTTTACTCGACTAGCGTCAACTAGAATTGGACATTTACAAGTAATTTTTCGATTAAAAAGTTGTTTTTATTTAAGCCATTGAACAATTTCCCGTAAGATTATAAAACTGTCTATAATGAGGACCACTAATGATGCCACCAGTATATGAGTAGGGTCTGTTTGATACAAACGATGCTTGTGTCATGAATTTGTTTTTGCGTATCTGTTAACCGACTTAATTAGCTGATTGCGAGCGAATTGCTGTGTTATGTCTGTCACCGTTTAGGCCTATTTGAAGTTTTGGACGGAACTTGGCTCAGTGATTTGGAACTAATTGCGAGATAACCGTCGCTATTCTGACTATCGATTCTGACAGTTGGTATCCGTAGTTATTAATGTAGTGAACGATTAATCAAAATATATGACGTATTCAGTACTTAGTGTGATTGGCTTTATGATTGAAGGTTACGCCTTAGAGTCTTTTTACTGCATTGTAATTGGTTAGAGTTTTGAAAATGAATAAAGAGAGTTTGAGTTGGTCTTGGCGAATACTCCATGATAGACGCAGTCGAGAGTCCAGTCCTGGAGAGCCTTGGGGCGAATGTTGACGCAGTCTAAGAGAGTCTTGGGTCAGCCTTGCGATAGTCTTGGG